TGAGCTCCTGCGGCCGTCTTGGGGACCTCTTGGGCCCCTCCTGGGCCTCTTTTGGGCCTCTCTTGGGGCCCTCCCAAGGCCTGAACAGCGCATCAGAAGCGAAAAGGCGCGAAGGCACAAATCACTGACCTCCTCAAGGTTTTTGAAGGCGTCTTGGGGGGATCCTGATGGGGGCTCCGACAGCACTTGGAACCGTCTTGTGGCCCTCGTCGGGCCTCTTCGAGGCATGTTGGAAGCTATCTTGAAACATCGCCGGTTATCTGGAGCCATATTGGAGGCCATCTTGGAGCATCGGAGGCCCTCTTGGCGCCATCTTGGGCCATCTCGCGCACCCGAACTCATCGCGGCACACCCCCAAAAAATGCACGGATGGGGAGGGGGAGCGTACCCTTCCCCGAAGGGAAGAAGGTGTTGGAAGAGAGCAGCCAGATATCACCAGAGCGCCTTAGCCCGATGTGTTAGTGGAACTATGTAAGTCTCAGGAGAATATCCCGGTCGGCCCTACCGACGCGTCTGGTGGTGTTGCGTGGAGACGCTCTGCGTGATGACGAGGGAAGGACGAGGAGGAGGAATAGAAGGATGAGGAGGAGGAGGAGGAGGAGGAGGAGGAGAAGGAGGAATCAGAGTAGAGGGAGGTAGAGAAAGGGGACAAGGAAGAGGAGGAGGAGGGCGGGAGGAAGTATTGGAGGGGATGTGAAGGAGGAGGAGGAGGCGGAGGAGGAGGAGGAGGGAAGGAATAGTGGGAGGCGGCGGAGGAGGAGGACCATTGCAAACCCAAGACCATCTCTGATGTTTGCATAGCCCCTCCCTCCAAGCTCCCTTCCTAGGCCCCTATAAGGTTTCATGTCCACTGAGGAAAGTACCCCGTTGTGAGACAACCGCCTCAAGCTCCTGAGGCGCGCCACAGCACCATTCCCGGACCATTCCCTGAAATTCAACGACGCGAATAAACCTGATTGGTTCGTCTTGACGATCCTCACTCGTGGCAGAACATTGTTCCTGGGACTTCACACCGCAGATCAACATAACTACTGCGCCCTGACAATGTTGATCCGCTGCAGATCATGGCAGCTGGTTCGTTATTCGTGGGGACGCGTGAAATTCTTGCACATGTTTAAAATGAGTGTGCGCGGAGCCAAGGCGGGAGCCACATTCGTGAAATTCGTACATGGTGTTGAGTCGAGCGTGCGCGTCGCGAAGGCGAGATCCACATGTTGAACACCCGCCCTCAATCCGTGCAACTCTTTGCGGGTTCCTAGAGCGAGTCTGCGCAGCGCGAAGGCGATGGTCAAATCTTGAAAGCCACCCGCCTTCAACCCGTTAAACTCCTGCAGGTGTTTAAAATAATGCGCGCGGCGCTAGGGCGAGAGCCACATTTTGGAACGGAGCCGCGATCAATCCTTGGAAATGCTGGTTTTCATTAAGTAGGGTGTGCGCGGCGCTAAAGCGAGAACCACATCTTGAAAACCACCCACTTTCAATCCGTGGAAATCCTTGCAATTGTTTAAATTGAATGCACGTGCCGCGGAGGCGAGAGTCACATTCTGAAATGGATACGCGTGTAATCCGTGAATCATTTGCACTTCATTAGGTGGAGCGTGCGCGGCGCGAAGGCGCGAGCCACACATTGAAAACCATTCGCCCCCAATTCGTGAAATTCGCTGCAAACTCTCAAAACGAGCGTGCGCGGTGCTAAGGCGAGAGCCACATGTTGAAAGCCACCACCCCTCAATTCGTGAAGCTGCTGCTGTTGCGAAGTCCGATGTGTAAGGATCGTGAGTGGTAGGAAGTATTAGGGGATACGCCTGGCCTTTCCTGCCGACTGGATTCGGGGAGAAACAGGAAGACGTTGCACAGAAGGAAAAAGATTTGAGGAGGAGGAGGAGGCGGAGGAGGAGGAGGAGTGTGAGGGGGCGACGAGAAGATGTTTCGGGGCCTCAAGACCGTCAGCATCGACACAGGATGAAAAGCCAGCCCTGGGGACGAGGCCGACTAGTCTGCGGGCGGATTTTCAAAATAAATGTCGTCTCTCGGAGGCCTGGATTTTTACTTGTGCTCAGCCGTGTATCGCTGCTGCAAGGGGCCCGCACCCGTGCCTTCTTCGAGCTCGCGAACCTCACCAGACGAGGGCGGGGTTGTTCCGCTCACCTGAATCCTCCCACCTTTTCCTCTGCCTCCCCCTCCTTCCGTTATTTCGCCCCCTCCCCTACCCTGAGGATTGCAAGAATCCTCCCGTCTTCCCTTAATTGTGAAGGCCTTGGGGCCGGTGCCGCCGACCCTGAATGGCGACGACGACGACGACGACGACGACGACGACGACGACGACGACGACGACGACGACGACGACGACGACGACAACGACGACGACGAACTCTCTCGGGTGCCTCTTGGGGGTAGTTTGGGGGCCTCTTCGGGGTAGTTTGGGAGCCTCTTGGGAGGCTCTTAGGGGGCCGCTTGGGAGCCTCGTCTGGGCCTTTTGGGACTTCCTGGGGGTCTCTTCGGAGCCTCTTAGGGCCTCTTGGGGGGCTTCTTAGGGGCTGCAAGGTGCCCGCACCCGTGCCTTCTTCGAGCTCGCGAACCTCACCAGACGAGGGCGGGGTTGTCCCGCTCACCTGCCTCCTCCGACCTTCTTCTCTGCCTCCCCCTCCTTCCGTTATCTCGACTCCCCCCCTACCCTGGGGATTGCAAGAACATTTCCGTCTTCCCTTAATTCACCTACGAAGGCCTTGGGGCCGGTGCCGCCGACCCTGAAGACAACGACGACGACGACGAGGACGAGGAGGAGCAGGAGGAGGAGGAGGAGGAGCAGGAGGAGGAGGCGGAGGACGCGGTGGAGCCGCAGGACGAGGCGGAGGATGCGGACGAGGATGAGGAGGGGGAGCAGTGGCACGGGGAGGACGAGGGGAGGAATGAACAGTAGGAGGACGAGGAGAATGGGAGCCGGAGGAGTAGGAGACGAAGGAGGACGCGGAGGAGGGGATGAGGAGGAGGAGGAGGAGGAGTAGGAGGAGAAGGAGGAGGATGGGGAGGAAGAGGTCGAGGTAAGGTTGCGGCGGAGCACTTGGGGAAGAGCACGCGGGGGAGGGGAGGGAGCATGATGAGGAGGATGATCAGGAGTATAATGATGATGATGATGATGATGATGATGATGATGATGATGATGATGATGATGATGATGATGATGATGATGATGATGCTATGATGCTGATGGCTGATGCTGATGCTGATGCTGATGCTGATGCTGATGCTGATGATGCTGATGATGATGATGATGATGATGATGATGATGATGATGATGATGATGATGATGATGATGATGATGACGATGACGATGACGATGACGATGACGATGACGATGATGAGGAGGAGGAGGAGCAGGAGGAGGAGAAGGAGGATGTGAAGGATGGGGTGAGGAGGAGGTAAAGGGCGAGAAGGAGGAGGACGAGCAGGGGGAGCAGGCGGAGGAGGAGGACGCGGTGGAGCAGGAGTGTGAGGAGTAGGAAGAGCATGCGGAGGAGGATGAGGAGGGGGAGTTGGGGCAGGAGGAGGTCGAGGAGGGCAATGAGTAGGTGGAGGACGATGAAGACGAGGCGGAGGAAGGGGAGGAGGAGGGTGAGGAGCATGGGGGGAGTGGATACTTGCCGGGGTCTGTTCGGAGCGCTTTCGAGGGCCACTGGCAGGCAGTTTTGGGGCGCTTTGGGAGACTCTTGGGGGGCCTCTTCGGAGCCTCTTGGGGGCCTCCGGAGGCTTCCTGGGGGCTTCTGGGGTCTCCTGAGATCTTCCCGGGAGCGGGGGCTCGAGATGTCCGTTCGGGTCCCCCGTCTGGGCACCCTCTGAGAGGCGCCTTGGGTGCTTCTCGGCCTGTCTTGGAGGCGTCTCGGCCGTCTGGGTGCCCTCGTGGGCCATGTGGGAACCTCTTGGAGGACTGGGCGGTCGTGGTGCGATCTTTGGGGCCTCTTGGGCCGTCTTGGGGCGTCGGGAAGCGGAAGAAGCGAGAACGCCAAGATCATTCCAAAGGCTAAGTCGAATTAATGAATGTTGCCTTTCTTCTGGGGAGTGCTTCTGGAGGCCTCTCGGGACGTCTTGCAGGTCTCATGGTCCGTTTGGAGGCCGTCAAGGCGTCTTGGACAGATCGTTCGGCGATTCGGGGCCCTCTTGGACCGTCTTGGGGGCCACTTCGGGCACTCTTGGCCCGTCCTGGGGCTTTTTGGTGACCCGGGGCCCCTCACCTACTCCTGTTTCGTTATTTTGTTTCCTCCCGTCTCCTTCCCGGCCCTGAGGACTGTAAGAGAACCTGTGGCAAGCTTAACAAGAGGACGATTCTTCATCCGCAGTCTTCGAAGAAGCTCGTGTGGGATCTGCTTGGGGTCCTCGCCGTCGCTGTGGACTTGATCTTCACACCACTGCTATTCTTCGATTTGAAAGAAACTGTGGTGTTGAATGTCCTCAACTGGCTGGTCAATGCTTTTTGGACGTGCGATATATTTGTGACCTTTCGTACGGGCTTCCTCAAAGAGGCCAAGGTCGTACTGGATCCTCGTTTGATCGCATGGCAGTACGCGACTGGGTGGCTGTGCTTTGACATGCTGGTCCTACTCCCAGAATGGATGACCGTTTTGAGCGGAGATTCTTCGCCCTCGGGGAGCGTGTCTGTGTTGCGGCTAGCCAAATTGTCCAGGCTCATGAGGTTAGCCCGGCTGGTGAAAATTAAGAAGTTGATTTACGCTTTGCAGCTCAGAGTCAATTCGAATCGAGTCATGCATTTTCTTCGCGTGGCCATGATGATTTTGGGCGTCTTGGCAACCTCGCACGTCATCGCTGGCTTGTGGTGGTGGATCGGAAGCGACAACAACGGTTGGCCGACATCTTCTCTTCTCGATGGCAGTTTAACTGACAAGTACTTCGCGTCGCTGCACTGGGGAATCACGCAGCTACACGGATCGATGCACATCTCAGCCACGAACACAATGGAACACATTTTCAGTGCAGCTGTGTTGCCTATGTGTCTTGTAATGGTCTCTCTCATGGTGAGTACGATAACTACGGATCTCCAGCAGATGAAGGACTTCAACAAAGACGTGATCGCTCAGAAGATGGTGCTCTGCTCATTCCTTGAGAGGAACAGGATATCACAGAAAACTTCAGCGCGCTTGAAGATCTGGCTCGAGAAGGCCGCGCTGAACAGGCAGGAGCAGGACGATGACCAGCGGCTCATGGAGCTGCTCCCCATTCACATGCAGCAGGAGAGCTCTTCTCAGCCTCCCTCTTGCTCTGGTTTACAGTCCCCTCTATAGAAGCAGTCTTGCGAACGGGCCCCACCCTTCATGACTATGTGACTGCGTGAGGCTTCCTGGGGCTGTGACCCCACATGTAGAATGGACGCTACGTCAACAATCATGCCAGCTGCACGTGAGTGCCCAAGATCATACAAACAAGTGAGCAGGATGTGAGCGTGTGGTGTGTAAGGTGTGTGTGTGTGTTATGTTTGTTGTGTGTAGTGTGCTTGTGGTGTGCGTTGTGCGTGCATGTGTGTTTGTGTGTTATGTGTGTGCGTTCTCGGCGGCTTATGTTTGTATGTTATGTGTGTTATGTGCGTTTGGTGTGTTGTGCGTTTGCGTTGTGTGTGGTGCTTGTGTTTGTTGTTGTATGTTTCATGTGTGTTGCGTGCGCATGCGCGTGTGTGTGTGTGTGTGTGTCCTCTGTGTGTGTGTTATGTGAGTGGTGTAGGTGTTCTGTGATTGTTTGTCGTTTGTGGTGTGTTTCGTGTGGTGTGTTTTGTGTGTAGTATCTGTGTGTGTGGGTGCTGCACGTCGGGGCTCGAATAGGGGAGGATGTCCCAGGCTAACACGCATGTGCTCTGATAATCGTGCTGGGAAGGGGATCGATTTAGGGAGATGTCTTACGCGAAATGGCAGTGTGTTCTAAGAGCGGCGTCCACAATCATTGACACCCATTGTGATTTTGACGGTTGTCTGGTAACATGTTTACGATCCGATGTGCTGATGAAACATGACGCCGCGCTCTGCGGGATGGGAGCGCCCGATCTTCAGAATGTCGAGAGCGTCGCGAGCGGAACGGCCAGACAACAAACAACATTGCTTCAATTGGTCGCCTCTAAGCTCTACTCCGGCGCGGCGGCCCGCCGCATGCTACTACGTATATGTAGACTTGCAATGCACCTGGGGGTTCTGCTTCGTCTGTGTTTGAGACTTCGTTTTCCCAACCCCCCTTGATTGGGTATTCGTTTTGCATGGAGGACTGCGGTCGCGTCCTCCTCCCGCCTCCTGCCTCGCGCCTCCTGTCTCCCACGGGACCTCGCCGTCCCTGGGGGGGGGGGCGATCTGCGAAACCGTCGCCACTTTCGAGGGCTGCTGGTGGGTCCGACGGGGTGAGGCACCGCGCAGATCTGAGCGAGACCTCGCCGTCCCTGGGGGGCTGCGATCTGCGAAACCGTCGCCGCTTTCGAGGGCTTCTGGTGGGTCCAGCGGAGTGAGGCACCGCGCAGATCTGAGCGAGACCTCGCCGTCCTTGGGGGGCTGCGAAACTGTCGCAACTTTCGAAAACTGCTGGTGGTGCAACAAGGAGGTTGCATTTGAGACGCGTTTTATTCCTCATATGTAGTGCCACCCGTGTTCTGTTGCTCCCTGTTTTGAAAGGGGTGCAGGGGCATGGTGTGCTCGGTATGGTGGAACAAAGAGGTTGCATTTGCGACGCGTCTTTTTCCTCATCTGTGGTGTCATTTTGCTCTGGGGGGGGGAACTTTCGAGGGCTGCTGGTGGGTCCAGCGGAGTGAGGCACCACGTAGATCTGAGCGAGACCTCGCCTTCTCTGGGGGGGGGGGGGGGGGGGGGGCTGCGATCTGCGAAACCGTCGCTCCTTCGAGGGCTGCTGGTGGGTCCAGCGGAGTGAGGCACCGCGCAGATCTGAACGAGATCTCACCGATCCCTGGGGGGGGCGCGATCTGCGAAACCGTCGCCACTTTCGAGGGCTGCTGGCGGGTCCGGCGGAGTGAGGCACCGCGCAGATCTGAGCGAGACTCTCGCAGTCCCTTAGGGGGGGCGCGACCTGCGAAATTGTCGCCACGTTCGAGGGCTGCTGGTGGGTCCAGCGGAGTGAGGCACCGCGCAGATCTGAACGAGACCTCGCCGTCCTTGGGAAGGGGTGGGGCTGCGATCTGGGAAACTGTCGCCACTTTCGAGGGCTGCTGGTGGGTCCAGCGGAGTGAGGCACCACGCAGAACAAAGCGAGACCTCGCCGTCCCTGGGGGGCTGCCATCTGCGAATCCGTCGCCACTTTCGAGGGCTGCTGGCGGGTCCAGCGGAGTGAGGCACCGCGCAGATCTGAGCGAGACCTCGCCGTCCCTGGGGGGCTGCGATCTGCGAAACCGTCGCCACTTTCGAGAGGCTGCTGGTGGGTCCGCGGAGTGAGGCACCGCGCAGATCTGAGCGAGACCTAGCCGTCTCTGGGGCCGACCTGCGAATCCGCCGCCAGAGGCTGCTGGTGGGTCCAGCGGAGTGGAGCCCAGCGCAGATCTGAGCGAGACCTCGCCCGGGGCGGTGCGCATCTGCGAATTGTCGCCACTTTCGAGGCTGCTGGCGGGTCCCGCGGAGTAGGCCACCGCGCAGATCTGAGGCGGACCTCGCAGTCCCTTGGGGGGGGGGGGCCGCGACCTGCGAAACCGTCGCCACTTTAGAGGGCTGCTGGTGGGCCCAGCGGAGTGAGGCACCACGTAGATCTGAGCGAGACCTCGCCGTCCTTGGATGGCTGCGATCTGGGAAACTGTCGCCACTTTCAACCGCGCAGATCTGAGCGAGACCTCGCCGTCCTTGGGAGGGGGCTGCCATCTGCGAAACTATCGCCACTTTCGAGGGCTGCTGGTGGGTCCGGCGGAGTGAGGCACCGCGCGGATCTGAGCGAGACCTCGCCGTCCCTGGGGGGGGCTGCGATCTGCGAAACCGTCGCCGCTTTCCAGGGCTGCTGGTGGGTCCAGCGGAGTGAGGCACCGCGCAGACGTGAGCGAGGCCTCGCCGTCCCTGGGGGGAGGGGGATGCTGCGATCTGGGAAACCGTCGCCACTTTCGAAGGCTGCTGGTGGGTCCAGCGGAGTGGGGCACCGCGCAGATCTGAGCGAGATCTCACCGTTCCTTGGGGGGTGCTGCGATCTTCGAAATTGTCGCCACTTTCGAGGGCTGCTGGTGGGTTCAGCGGAGTGAGGCACCGCGCAGATCTGAGCGAGACCTCGCCGTCCCTGGGGGGCTGCGATCTGCGAAACCGTCGCCACTTTCGAGGGCTGCTGGCGGGTCCGGCGGAGTGAGGCACCGCGCAGATATGAGCGACCTCGCCGTCCATGGGAAGGGGGTGGGCTGCGATCTGCGAAACCGTCGCTACTTTCGAGGGCTGCCGGTGGGCCCAGCGCAGTGAGGCACCGCGCAGATCTGAGCGAGACCTCGCCGTCCCTGGGGGGCTGCCATCTGCGAAGTTGTCGCCACTTTCGAGGGCTGCTGGCGGGTCCAGCGGAGTGAGGCACCGCGCAGATCTGAGCGAGTTCTCGCCGTCCCAGGGGGGGGGGGGGCTGCGATCTGCGGAACCGTCGCCACTTTCGAGGGCTGCTGGTGGGCCCAGCGGAGAGGCACCGCGCAGATCTCAGCGAGACCTCGCCGTCCCTGGATGGCTGCGATCTGCGAAACCGTCGCAACTTTCGAGGGCTGCTGGTGGGTGCAGCGGAGTGAGGCACCGCGCAGATCTGAGCGAGACCTCGCCTTCTCTTGGGGGGGGGGGGGGGGGGCGCGACCTGCGAAACCGTCGCCATTTTCGAGGGCTGCTGGTGGGTCCAGCGGACTGAGGCACCGCTCAGATCTGAGCGAGCCCTCGCGGTCCCTGGGGGGCTGCGATCTGCGAAACGGTCGCTACTTTCGAGGGCTGCTGGTGGGCCCAGCGGAGTGAGGCACCGCGCGGATCTGAGCGAGACCTCGCCGTCCCAGGGGGAAGGGGGGGGGGGCTGCGATCTTGGAAATTGTCGCCACTTTCGAGGGCTGCGGGTGGATCGAGCGGAATGAGACACCACGTAGACCTGAGCGAGACCTCGCCGTCCCTGGATGGCTGCGATCTGGGAATCGTTCGAGGGTTGCTGGCGGGTCCAGCGGGATGAGGCACCGCGCAGATCTGAGCGAGACCTAGCCGTCCTTGGGGTGGGGGCTGCGATCTGCGGAACCGTCGCCACTTTCGAGGGCTGCTGGTGGGCCCAGCGGAGTGAGGCACCGCGCAGATCTGAGCGAGACCTCGCCGCCCCTCGGGGGGAGGGGTTGCGATCTGCGAATCCGTCGCCGTTTTCGAGGGCTGCTGGTGGGTCCAGCGGGATGAGGCACCGCGCAGATCTGAGCGAGACCTCGCCGTCCTTGGGGGGGGCTGCCATCTGCGAAACTGTCGCCACTTTCGAGGGCTGCTGGTGGGCCCGGCGGAGTTAGGCACCGCGCGGATCTGAGCGAGACCTCGCCGTCCCGCTTCGATCCCCGTCGGTGGCAATAATGCATGCGTGTCCCAGTCGGCCGAAAAACCCACGCGTGGGCCCCTAATCTTGGTTGCGCTTCCGCGTGTCACCGCCGGTGGGACACCAGGCCTGGGATCCGAAGCCCCGTGGCGCCTCCCGTAGCCGAGCACGTGCGCGCTATCGAGTCCCGTGGCGGTCGCTCGGGCCTAGGGCTGGCGACCGACGCGGAGGCCCCCGCCGCGCGCAAAAGTAGAGCACCCCTCCACCGGTACATGTTGATTTTTGCGCCTCATTTTTTTAAATTGGATTTGAAATATTTCCATACACACCGCATCACCAGAATCTAGATTTATCAATTGTAATGCATTCACATGCCTTCAGTATTCTCGAAAAAACGAAGCCCGACCTCGAAAGTGCGAGTTCGAAACGACCTCGAACATGTAAGTGTTGGGGTGGGGCCAGCCGCAGCCCTTCTCAGAGGCGCTCGCGGCCGGCCCCACGGAGGCCAGCCTCCGGAGGCCAGCCTCGCAGAGAACCTCCGCAGATCGGCCCGCTTCGCTTCGCTTTCGCTTCCAGGCAAAACCAAGTCATACCACGCGCCTCCTCGGCAAGCGGCCCGACCAGTACAGGCCGTAGTTTGGCATCGCTTGGTATCTCTTGGAAGCGAGGGTGGTCAAAAGCGAGGTAGGTTTGTTTGCCCCCTATGCTTGCTGCCCAAGATGTGGCTGAGCTCAGAGATCAGGTCGAGACGTTCGCT